CTGGCCGCTGTGCCTCCCCGACTGGACACAGAGTAGCCAGTAGCCCCAAGCATTCTGCCAAGGGCAGCGGGGAGGCAAGGCAGCCCCGATAAGGGCTGTGTCAGGGACTCCAGACAGCCATGCGGAGCCCCGGGCCATGAAGGAGCACTCGGAGGAAGTCAGCCTGTGCGTGGAGGCCACAGAGCAGAGCAAGGTGAGGCCCGTGGAAGCCCTCTCCTCCCCAGCCCCGCGCCCCAGGGCCCCCGGCCCTCGCTCCCAGACCCCCCTCTCACTTTCAGACTGAGTTCTGCAACCCTGCCTTCGAGCCTGAAGCGGAGCCGCCCTGCCCGGCGCCTGCCTTCCAGGGAGAGGCTCCCTGCAGCAGCCCAGCTCCCTGGCATGGTAACCATCCCATAGGGGGGACCCAAGGCCAGGACAGTGGGGGGGCCCGGGGCCCTCTAAGTGCTACCCTGGCTGCCACAGGCCGGCGCCCACGAGGGCTACAGCCCGACTGCCGCTTCTCCTGGCTCTGTGTGCTCCTGCTCGCCGGCCTGCTGCTCCTGCTGCTCGGGCTGCTGGTGGCCGTCATCCTGGCCCGTGAGTAGGGCCCGCTGGGGAGCAGCGGGCAGACTGAGACACTGGGGGCCTCGCCACCTGCCCCCTGCACTCTCCCAGGGTGCAGTTGGGGGGCTCCTCTGAAAGCCACTCCTCCGCCCCCTGCCTTCAGAGCTGCAGGCTGCACCTCCACCTGGGGCCACCTACGGCCCCCTGCCTGCCCGGGGCCTCACTACCACTGCCACCGCCACCCCCAGCACCGTCCCCACCACCACCACAGCCTCTCCAGCGCCTGGGCTCCCTGGCCGGCCACAGCAGGCGGGCGTGAGTCCCACACCCCACCCCAGTGAGTACTAGAGCAGGTCTCCCAGGACGGGGGCTGATAGGGCAGCGGGGAGGGAGGCCAGGAAGAGGCACCTTGGGGAGCAAAGGCACCTCTCACCTCATGACCTCTGAACTCTAACCTCTATCTCTGCAGCCTGCGGGGGTCTCCTGCCTGGCCCAAGGGGCTTCTTCAGCAGCCCCAACTACCCGGACCCTTACCCACCCAATGCCCACTGCGTGTGGCACATCCAGGTGGCCACAGACCACACGATACAGCTCAAGATCGAAGCTCTGAGCATGGAGAGTGTGGCCTCCTGTCTCTTTGACCGCTTGGAAATCTCCCCAGAGCCTGAAGGCCCCCTCCTCAGGTGGTCCCTCTGCACCCTGTCCTGAACCACTCTCGGGGGCCCAGAGCAAGGGGGTTGCAAGGGAGAGGCTGGACTAGGGGGAAATGAAGAGCCTTGACCTCGGGGCCCAGCTTTGCCACCCCTCTGCTGTGTGACCTGGGGAGGGTCACTGCCCCTCTCTGGCTTCAGTTTCCTAATCTATGAAATGGGCCTCTTACCAGTAGTTCCCATGGAGAAATGCTACACTGCTGACTGACACACAGGGGCTGGGGCAGTCCAAGCACCCTGGGAAAGTGCAGGAAACTTTGTGCTGTACTCAGCACCGGTTCAGGGGTTAAGGAAACAGGACGACAGGGCCCAGGCCGGCTCCGCTCTGGCAGGCTCTGAGCTCCGAGCCTGATCAGCTTTCTCCGCTTCTCGCAGGGTGTGTGGGAGGGTGGCGCCTCCCACACTCAACACCAACGCCAGCCGCCTCCGGGTGGCTTTCGTCTCCGACAGCAGTGTGGAAGGCTCTGGCTTCCAGGCCTGGTATCAGGCTGTGGTCCCCGGGCATGGTGAGTGTTTAGCCACTGTGTCCCCAGCTGCCTGGCAAGTGTCTGGCTTCCCTCCCCTCAGCCACTCCCAGCCCTGGAAAAAGGGGGTGGAGACTTTGGGGGTGGTTCCTGAATCCAGACGCCATCCCCAGGGAGCTGCGCCCACGATGAGTTCTCCTGTGACCAGCTCACCTGCCTGCTCCCCGACTCGGTATGCGATGGCTTTGCCAACTGTGCTGATGGCAGTGACGAAACCAACTGCAGCGCCAAGAGCTCGGGTACGGGCCCGCCAGGCGCAGGGCGGGTGCTGTCTCCGGGCATCTGATCCAGGCTCTGGCTGTGCTCCCCAGCACTGGCCGGGCCCCAAGCCGCAACGTTCCCATCGGCACACCCTGCCTGGCCATTCTCCCAGCCAGAGCTTGCTTCCCTGTGGGCAGGGCCAAGATGCTCTCTTGCCAGCCCCACAAGCTGTCTGCCTCTCCACAGGGTGCGGGGGGCACTTGACGGGGCTCCAGGGCGCTTTCTCTACTCCCAGCTACCTGCAGCAGTACCCACACCACCAGGTCAGTGCAGCCCGGCTGCAGGGGGGACCAGCAGTGCCGCACACGGGCAGGGGAAACACTGCTCTGTACTGCAGAAAGCCAGATGGGGAACATTCTTAAGTGCTTACTGTATACCCAGATGTTCCCACACTGCATTCACTCCTCTCTGAGCCCAAACAACTTAAAAGGCCCGTTGTACGTCCAGGGCCACAGAGGTGCAGGCGCACTGGGCAGTGGCTGCCCCGTGACTGGCTCCTCCCACACTCTCCCCAGCTCTGCACCTGGCGCATCTCGGTGCCCGCCGGTCTTGGCATTGAGCTGCAGTTCCACAATTTCAGCCTGGAAGCGCAGGACGAGTGCAAGGTGGCCTACGTGGAGGTGTATGAGACCAGCAGCTCAGGGGCCCTCAGCCTCCTGGGCAGGTACAGGGTCGGGGAAGGAGCCAGACTCAGCCCTCCCCCTCCCCTCAGGCCTGGCCATTCCCCAGCTCCGCCCTCTGCCACTCCAAGCCAGTCTCTCCAGAGCCACCCTAAACAAATGCTTCTGCCTTCTGCACCTGCCGGGGGCCGGGTCGTGCCTGTCCCCAGGAGGCCCTTTCCCAAATCTCTTCCAGCTCCCCTCCAGCTCTTCCCAGCCTGTGGAGCCATTTACTCACACACGCACACGCACGCACACACACACACACACCGGCCTCAGTTTGCCACTTTGTCCACCAGCATTTCCTCCCTGGCGCTGAGTTCTGGGAGTCAGCCACTGTGTCTCCCCTCACCTCTGGCCTGGCCCGGAGCACCCGGCTCATAGCGAGCCCGCGGGAGGCTGCAGCCAGGGGCCCACGGCTCTCCACCGCTTCGGGCAGGTTCTGCGGGACAGAGCCGCCCCCTCGCCTCCTGTCCTCGCACCGGGAGCTGGCTGTGTTCTTCAGGACAGACCACGGCGTCAGCGGCGGGGGCTTCTCAGCCACCTTCCAGGCCTTCAATGCCACAGACAGTAGGTGACCCTGGACCCAGAGAGTGGACGGCACGGGGGGGGGGGGCAGCGGGGGGGGGGAAGGACAGGCACTGCCACGCCCTGTGCCTACAGACCCCTGTGGGCGCCGAGAGTCCTCCTGCCTGGACGGAGAGTGTAAGGGGCTGCAGTGGGTGTGCGACATGTGGAGAGACTGCACAGGTGGCAGCGGTGACAACTGCAGCAGCCCCCTGGCCCCACCGCCAGGTGAGGCCCGGCCCCACCCGGGATCCCTACACGGGCTGGGTGCCCAGTCGCAGACACGCCCTGGCACCCGAGCTACCACCCCACCCTACCTCCCTGATTCGGGCAGGGGCGAGCAGCCGCTGGGCCTCACCGTCCTGACTCGGGACTCTTGGCTGGTGGTGGCAGTGGTCCTTAGGGACATGGGGATCTGGGAGTCGAGAGTTGGGGCTTCGAGAACCCTGCACCTTGACACACGGAGTCCCTCTGCAGAGCTCAAAGGCGAAGGTGAGATGCTATGGGGAGCAGGGGCTTGTGTCCCTGCCTGTGCCTCCTGAGGTCACAGAGACGCCAGCTCAACGCCCAGGGCTGACGAGCAATGTTGGAGCAGACTCCCAGGGCTTCACGGGGACCCTCCACACAGGCAAAGCCCTCACCCTGTTACCTTCCTGGACTCCCGCAACCCCAGCGGCCCAGGCCGAACAGCCAGTGAGCAGCCCCTCCCTCCCGCAGAGCTGGCCTGTGAGCCCGTCCAGGTGGAGATGTGCGTGGGTCTGAGCTACAACACCACGGCCTTCCCTAACATCTGGGTGGGCATGGCCACCCAGCAGGAGGTGGTAGAAGTCCTCCGAGGCTACAAGGTGCCTTGGCCCAGAGATGGGGAGGGAGGCCACAGGGAGGGCAGGGAACCTGGGGACCAGCACTGAAGACGCCTCTCTGCCCTCTGCAGAGCCTAACCAGTCTACCCTGCTACCAGAGTTTCCGGCGGCTCCTCTGCGGGCTGCTGGTGCCCCGCTGCACCCCGCTGGGCAGCGTCCTGCCTCCCTGCCGCTCTGTCTGCCAGGAGGCGGAGCGCCAGTGCCAGTCTGGCCTGGCCCTCCTGGGTACCCCCTGGCCCTTCAACTGCAACAGGCTGCCTGAGGCAGCTGGCCTGGAAGCCTGCGCCCAGCCGTGACCCTGAAGCGGACCCCCTGCCCTCAGCCTGCCTGTCCTCCCTTGCCTAAGAGGCTGCCGGGCAGGGTGGGGGAGGCGGACCAGCCTGGGCTCTTCTCACCCTCTCTGGGCCTCCCAGCAGCAGCGGGGAATCCACAGCCCCCTCCCCGCTTCCCTGCCCCTGTCCTCATACAACCCACACCGCTTCCCTCCAGGGCCCTGACTGCCCTCTGCCTTCTCAAGTTCTCTGCCACCCACCTTCTGACTTTCCCACTCATTCGGCAATCACGTGGGTGCCCTGCTCTAACCCCGGGGGTCCGGATCTCTGCCCCAGCTCCTCCCCGCCCCCCTTCCGCTGCGACCCCCCGCAGCGCCCGCTCTCCCCTTCTTGGTCGCGGCGGCGCCACTGCGCTCTGCCCCCGGGAACGGGAGGCGCCCTGCGGGTTGCCTCTCCCGGGGCCCGGCTCAAGCCTCTCTCCCCCTCCCTTCTCCCCCAAACTTTGGCCGGCCGCCGGGCGACACCACGAGTTATTTCCCTGCTATTTCCCGGCCCGGAGCTCTTGGCCCCTGAACAACTGGTTTCCTCTCGGAGACTGGGAGGAGCAGAGCCGGGCCGGCGGCGAGCGGACCGGGACCAGCAGCCCCGCGAGGGCACCGGGCGCCTGGCCGCGGAGCAGCGCAGGGCCGGGAGCAGGCCCCCGGGGAGAGTCGCAGGAAGCCGTCGGCGGGAGAGCAGCGAAGGGTGAGCCCCGCTGAGGCGGGTGGGAGAGGGCCTGGCGGGCAGGCGGCCTCCCCTCCCCCCTCGCGGTGCTCCCCGGGTCCTCGGGGCTGGGGCGGGGTGGGGACCGACGGGGCCGTGCCGGGGCCGCGAGAGTGGGTGCCGACTCCAGTCCTGCCCGGCCCGCAGACTAGGACAGGACCCCGCCGTCGGGCTCCCGGTGCCGGCGCCATGAGGCTGCTCCTCGCCCTGCTGCTCCTGGGCCTGGCGGCCGGCTCGCCCCCGCTGGACGACAACAAGATCCCCAGCCTGTGCCCGGGGCACCCCGGCCTCCCAGGCACCCCGGGTCACCACGGCAGCCAGGGCCTGCCTGGGCGCGACGGCCGCGATGGCCGCGACGGCGCGCCCGGAGTTCCGGGCGAGAAAGGCGAGGGCGGGAGGCCGGGTAAGGAGACACCTTCGCGGCCGTCCATGGGGACGTCGGGGCCGGCGCGGCCGGGCGCTCGCCCTCCCGCGTCCTCCGGCCCCGCGCACCAGGGCGCGCTCCTCTCTCCCGACATGGGTGGGGCGGAGGGTGGACGGAAGTGAGTCAGCCGGCGGGAGCCAGCACTCCGGGGACCCTCTGGGGCCACCTGTAGAAAGGTGCGGAGGATGGGCCAGAGAGGGGGCCTTTAGAGTCGCCCTTCCGGACCCCCGCTGCGGGCCGGCACGCCCACGCTCACCGCTGCCCTTACTCCCGCAGGACTGCCTGGGCCGCGTGGGGAGCCCGGGCCGCGGGGAGAGGCGGGGCCGGCCGGGCCTGCCGGGCCTGCGGGCGAGTGCTCGGTGCCCCCGCGCTCCGCCTTCAGCGCTAAGCGCTCCGAGAGCCGGGTGCCTCCGCCGGCCGACGCGCCCTTGCCCTTCGATCGCGTGCTGATCAACGAGCAGGGTCATTACGACGCCGCCACCGGCAAGTTCACCTGCCAGGTTCCGGGGGTCTACTACTTTGCCGTCCACGCCACCGTCTACCGGGCCAGCCTGCAGTTCGATCTGGTGAAGAATGGCGAATCCATTGCCTCCTTCTTCCAGTTTTTTGGGGGGTGGCCCAAGCCCGCCTCGCTCTCAGGGGGTGCTATGGTGAGACTGGAGCCCGAGGACCAGGTGTGGGTGCAGGTGGGTGTGGGCGATTACATCGGCATCTATGCCAGCATCAAGACAGACAGCACCTTCTCTGGATTTCTGGTGTACTCTGACTGGCACAGCTCCCCAGTCTTTGCTTAGTGCCCACTGGAAAGTGAGTCACGCTGACTCCCAGAGGACAACAGCCACGTCATCTGTCATCCGGGAGGGCTGGCCCCCCCGGAACGTTGTCACCGACTCGGGACTTGCTGTGGACAAGGAACGGGAACCGAGGCCGTGTGAGCTCACCGCAGGCAGCATGGGGCAGTGGCTGGATTTCTGCCCGAGACCACTAGAGTGTGCCATGCACTGGCAAGTGTGGGTGGGTCCCCCATTTGCTCGGACCCAGGACTCCAAGGGGGGGGGGTTCCCCGTCCTCTACTTCTCTGTGTTCTCCCCCCTCCCTCCTGCCCCCAGGCTGGCCCCTTCTTCAGAGCCCACTCAGTAAATCTACAAGAACCCCTATCAGCTTCAGCCTTCCTTGTTGGTGGTGGGGGGTGAGGGACCCTATTTCTGAAGGTCATTTGTGGTGGGGCTCAGACAGAAGGGAGGGTCCTTGGGGCGGGCTGTTGGCCTAGCGGTTAAAACACCAAGTGCCTGGGTTCAATACCCAGCTCCAGCTTCTGACCCAGGCTCCTGCACACAGGTTCAGGGCCATTCCAGGACCCTGGGAGGCACTGGTCATTGAGACTAAGTTCCACCTGCTGGCTTTGGCCTCATCCTGGCCCTGGCCTTTGAGGGCATTTGGGGAGTGAACCAGAGGATGGGCGCTCTCTGTATGTCTCTCTGCCTGTCAAATAACATTTAAATATAATTTTTTAAAGAAGGGGAAGTTTGAAAGTGGGCTGGAGCTAGGGGCAAGGGGCACAGGCAGCAGGCCCAGGTCGGGGAGCGGCTGCTCAGAGCTGCTGCCTTGGCTGTGCAGGCTGAGAACAAGAGCGCCTGATGGAGGAGGTGCCTCCTGGCCACGGCGCTGGCCACTTGGAGAAAGAGGCAGCTTTTTCTTACTCCCAGATGCCAAACGCACCAGGCAGGGCTGTCGTCAGCACACATGCCCTTCCCTGACCCAACAGAAAAGAGGCCGGGATCTTCAGTCGTGGCTGCTCTGGCTGCTCGCCTGGTCCCTAGATGACTGGGAAGCTCTTGGGCTGTCTCCAGCACTGCTGGTGTCTAGAAACAGGCCGTTTCTGAGATGACCGCCAGGGGGCACCCCAGCTCCGGAATGCAGCAACGACCCTGTAGCTGGAGCCCGACTCCCAGATTAGGGGGAGGAAGGGTGTTGAGGTCTGCCAAAGGAATTTCTGCTGGGGGTGGAGGGAAAGGGGGTCCTTTGCTCCTGGCTCAGGAAGTTTATCTCCTTTCATACAATGTTTATCCCCACATTAAACAAAGCCTGGAAGGAGCTGGGCCTCCCCTTGCTCAGCCCCCTCTCCAGGTTGGGGGAAGGGAGATAGCACCAAGCCTTCCCTTGGGACTCCAGATTCAAGGTGGAGGTGGGGAACTCTCCCCCACTGTGCTGGGCATCTCGGGGTGGGCAGAGTCACTAAGTCTGAGGCTCCCCCCTCCGCAATCCAGGGGGGGCAGGGGCTGGGGGGACCTCCCCTCCAATCCAGTTTCCCAGAGGGCTCAACCTCTCACCCCAAGAGAAGGTGGAGGGGCCTCTCAGCCTCCTCCCCTGCCCCCTCCCAGAAGGCGGGCCCGGGCGCTGTGCTTCCAGACCCCTAACATACAATTAAGGGGACAGCCTGCTCCCCACCAGGAGGTCTTGCGGCGCCAGACTCTGACAAGCACCAGCGCCTCCAGGGAGCAGAGGGTGGGTTGGATTCCACCCCGAGTTCCTGGGAAGCCCGGCACCAGAGGAAAAGCCGGGAAGGCTGACTCAAGGGGCGAGAGAGTTTGCATCCCTCTCCCTGGGCGCTGCACCCTGGCAACAATGGTGAAGACAGAGTGAACCCGGCAGCCTTTCTTCTCTCCTCCCCCCTCCCAGTTTAAGCCCACCCCCAGGACCCGCTGCTGTTCCCGTGCAGATGCACACAGAGGCTGTGAGAACTGTCAACAGAATTTTATTTATTGGAAACTGGGCCGGCTGGACCCCTCGGGGAGCTGCTTCTGAAGACAGCCGTCTCTGTGTTTGGACCCTAGTGAAATGTGTAGTCTGCCTTCCCCAGCACCGGGGAGGATCAGACAGAAGAGAAACGCCATCCTTCGACGTGACATGGGGAGACAGGAACGAGGAGAAACCGGGTCAGCCCTCCCGAGGCTCCCTGTGAAGCCAGTGTGGTCCCAAAGCCAGGTGCAGGTGCACACACAGGCACCCACCTCCCAGGGTTAACTGATCCCAGCTTTCAGATTGGGTTGGGAAGGTGCCTCGCAAGATCACGGCAGGCAGAAGTGGCCCTAGGGGCACCTGAGAGGTGCTCCCCGCAAGCCTTACCCGGGCACAGGGGTTCTGGCTGCACACAGGTTCAGGACCATTCCAAGACCCCTGAGTTGCCAAAACACCCAAACGACACTGATGTGCTGTGGCCGCAGAAGCTGGGGGCAGAGTGGGGAGGAAACAGGGAAAGGATCTACACAACCCCAACAGGAACACCAGAAGCGGAGAGGGGCAGCCCCAGAGGCTGGGCCCTGAACGGGCTGTGGGCTCAGCAGCCCCAGGGCCCTTGCATAGTGACACACTCACCACCCTCGGCATCCAGGGCACCCACCCCCACCCAGAGTGTCCCATCTCCATGTCCGAGGTGTATGGCTTGGTGGGGATTCAGGCCAGGATCTGGAGAAGGGGTGCGAATGCTGGCCCAGCGCAGGCACCTGCGTGGAGCACGGAGGGGTGGGCAGGCAGGGCGGGGGTCTTCAGAGGTAGACATTGAGGGTCTGCAGGATGCCCCGGCGGCACAGCGGGCAGTTGCGGTGATAGACAGGGTGGCGCATCAGTATCTCGGTGCAGGCCTGGCACAGGCACAGGTGCCGGCAGGGCAGGAGCAGCACCGTCTTGCTCTGGTCCTGGCAGATGACGCACTTCTTCCGCTCCTCTTGCTCCTTCAGCAGCTTCCAGGGGTCTTGGCCAGCTGCAGGCTCCTCCTCGTTGAGCCTCTCCCGGCCCCAGGCAGGTGCCGCTCGGAGGCTCCTGGCTTCCTCTTCGGCCTCCAATCTGAGCCCTGCTTCAGGGGGAGGATCCTGTGCCCGGGGCCGGGCTGACACCCTTCGAGGGGCCCCCTGGGGGGCTCCAGGGGCCCCTGCCCGGTTTGGCCAGCTCGCCAGCTGCAGGCTGCGACTCCAGACTCGGCGCCAGGCTTCCAAGCCCAGCGCCAGGCGAGACACCCGCACGACGTCCTCCCGGAGCCGGTGGTAGGATGGGCGGGCCTGGAGCTGGCTGAGAGCCCGGGTGGCCAGCCTGAGGGTGAGGTCTGGGTGCAACACGGTTACTGTCACTGCCAGCACGCAGGCCAGCACCGCCAGACCAGTGAGATTGACAAGCACGAAGCTGGCCAGGAGGCGGGCAGATGAGGCCAGCAGCTCCAGCGCTAGTTGACAGGGGGTCCACAGGAGGATGGCCATGGCCACGGCACTGCTGGAAATGTGGGCTAGGAAGGCGGCCACCACGTCTGTCACCCTCCACAGAGGGCCCATCACTGCGTCCCACAGGGCCAGCACCAGGGAGAAGAGATTCTGAGTGCCAATGAGGCAAATGTTGACCAGACTGTTGATCACATAGGCCACCAGGCTCATGGCAATGGCACAGATGTCACAGGCCTGGCGCAGCAGTGCATGGCCATTGGAGAGCACGCTGAGCACGCCCCGGTGCAGTAACTCCCGGCTCCGCAGTGCCCCGTGTGAGGCCAGGTGTCCCAAGAGCTTCAGGCTCTCCAGGCCAGAACAGCAGCTGTAGAGCAGAGTACACAACGCCTGCAAGCCCCCAACGGTGAGCCGGACCAAGGCTTCGACCACAGCCAGCAGCGAAAGCAGGACTCCACGGCCCAAGTGCAGAAGGCTGGTCAGTACCGTGTGCGGCAGGTTGTAGATGAAGGCCAGGAGCCAGGCCAGGGTAGCCAGGAGGGAGGACACCAGCAGGAAGTTGAGGTCCAACACCAAGGTCAGCACGTCCAGTACCAGCCCCACCCCATTCACCACCAGGTACACGGCCTCCATGATGGGGCTCCGGAAGTTAGTCTGTCTCCTCGGTGGACGGCGCTGTCAAGGCTGTCAATATTGTTGGAGGCTCAGGGATCTGGAAGGAAGGTGAGCGGCCTCTGACCCAGGGGGTACCCAGAATCTGACGGAGATGTGGGCTGCGCTAAGTGCAGTCTCAGTAGAGGGAAGAGGGGCCAGGGGCCGGTCCAAGACGCCCGGTTACGAAGGCGGGCTGGCTGGGAGGGAAGAGACCAAGCATCTCTAAAGGGAAGGCGAGGCGGGCTGGAGGAGACACCCCAGCCTTGCAGGCCTAGTGTGGCGTACCACGGCCGGGCAGTGGGTCAGCGGAGGAGACCGGGAACGGATGGGATGGGATCGGGCCAGGCCGGGGCCGGGGCCGGGTGGGGGCGGCGCAGGCTGGGCGCAGGTCCAGCTACGCAGATGCCCCTGTCCCCGCCCGGCCCCTGTCCTCCCGTTCGCGGCGCTTTGCGCCCAAAGGGAAAGGGGGAGAGGGAGTCAGTCTCAGCAAACCCCAAACGCAGCCTCTACTCCGCTGGGCGCCGCCATCTTGTGTCCGAAGGGGTGGGGCAAAAGGCGTGACAAGGAGAGGGGCACGACGAACTCCGGCCAATCGGAGAGGGCCAGCCGGAAGGACGCCGAGCTGTCATTGGTCCGTTTGAACAGCGCCCAAACAGACGTATTTTCCAAAAGGAGGGGGTGGACGCGTATTAAAATCTCCGCCCCCGTCGGCGTGGTGATTGGTCCGTTGACGGACAGCGTCGAACTGGGCCCGCCCTAGCCCCGTCACCTAAAAGAGCCGGACCTTGGACTTGGCTAAGAGCGAATTCGTGCTTCCTCTGGCCCGGAACCTGAGCTCGGCAGGCTGCGGTCGGAGCTGGCTGCCTGGGCGTCCCGCTCGGGCTCGCCGCCTGCTCCTCGTCGCTCCACACCTGCGACCTGTCACTCACGCCACTCCTGCAGCGCGCTGTTCACACAACAAACGTAAACACTGCCTGTTCTCCAGCCGCTCGCGAGGCGCGCAGACTGTTCCGGAGGTTCCACACTGCTGTTCCAAACTGGCTTCTCCAGGTTTTTCCAGAACTCCCGCATGATCTCCTCGTCCTCAGGAGGGAGGCGGCTCAGCTCCCTAGCGGGCGCCCAGCACTGCGTGCGCTCCAGCTGCAGCTGGGGGTCGGGCTCGGGGCTCCCTCGGAAGCTGGCCATTTCTTTAATACCCTGAACGTGTTGGAGACGCCGTCCCGAATACGAGTCTACGGAGACTCCCCTGCGGGTTCCGCGTCAGCCCTACGCTGCTTCTGCTGATTCTCCAGCTCAGCTCTGGCCCGGACTCCAGAGAGGGCCTGGCCTCCCCACCCCGCCTTGTGTCCTGAGTTCTCCGAGCACCGCGGAGGCACAGCTGAGGGGGCCGCAGCCCGGGCTGCACGGGGGCAGAGCAAGAACTGCAGTCGCTGAACGCCCGCCCGCCTTAGACCCCGACTCAGTGTCTCTGGCCCTCCCCCTCCTCCTCCTCCTCCCCTCCCCTCCCCTCTCCTCCCCTTCCCCTCCCTCTCCCCTTCTCTAGCTCCCCAATGTCTGTTACATCGTACTGCAGAATTGCTACCCCCAGTGTGAGCACAAAATGCTGATTTCTCCGAACAAAGGAAATTAGAATAAACACGAGTTTTGTCCACCATCTGGTCTGCTGATGTTTTCATTGTCCCCCTGTGCATCCTTTCCCCAATTTTTTTTTTTTCTTTTTGACAGGCAGAGTGGACAGTGAGAGAGAGAGAAAGGTCTTCCTTTTGCCATTGGTTCACCCTCCAATGGCCGCTGCAGCTGGTACACCTCGCTGATCCGAAGCCAGGAGCCAGGTGCTTCTCCTGGTCTCCCATGGGGTGCAGGGCCCAAGCACCTGGGCCATCCTCCACTGCACTCCCGGGCCACAGCAGAGAGCTGGCCTGGAAGAGGGGCAACCGGGACAGAATCCGGCGCCCTGACTGGGACTAGAACCTGGTGTGCCGCGCCGCAAGGCGGAGGATTAACCTGGTGAGCCGCGGCACCCGCCCCCAATTTCTTTTTTTAATAAAACTAGTCATTTTTTATTTGAAAGGTAAAGAGAGAGCAAGATCTTCTATCTGCTGGCTCATGGGGAGCCTGGAACTCAATCCCAGTCTCCCCACCTGGTTGGCAAGGACCAGTACCTAAGCCATCCGCTGCTGCCTCCCAGGGTGCACGTTAGCGGGAAGCCAGATCGGAAGCAGCGGCGTCAGGACTTGAACCAGGCACTCCACTACAGGATGCAGGCACGCCGGGCGGCAAATGCCCATGCCCCTGCCCCCAGTTGCACATCTTGGGGAACATGCGCTCCTTCCTTCCCAGACTCTGATCCCGCGAGCCTTACCCTCTCCTCAGGAGTCTGACTTGCCTGGCGTGCTTGCTGCCACAGACAGCTTCCTACCCTGCCCCGGCTTCCGAGACATTGCCCTTCCCATCTCCTTCCTGTTCCCATCGTAGCCTCCTCTCCCTGTGCAAGTGGATCTCTAAATCTATCTTCAGCCTGAACCTGTCTTGCAAATTTCAGGTCGCGGCTGCTCCCCAGGCTCCTGGATGCCCCCTGGTGCTTCGCTGTGTCTGCACTGTGAGCAAAGAAGCAGCAGGTCTGCACACCAGGAAGCGTGCCAAGGCCGTCTCCACGTGGGTGGGACCCTCTACGAGAGAATTTCCACCAGTTGGAGACCAAGACCTCCCCTTGGAGTGAGCTGGGATTTTGCAAGTCCATAGCCACACTTTTTCTCTTGGAGAGTCGAGAGAGAGAGAGAGAGAGAGAGAGAGAGAGAGAGAGAGAGAGAGAGGGAGCCCACCCACTGGTTCACTCCTCAGATGTTCACAGGTGAACAGGAGCTCAGTCCAGGTCTTCTGATTGCTTGAGCCATCACTGCTGCCTCCTGAGTTCACATTAGCAGGAAGCTGGAGCCAAGAGCTGGAGTGGGCACTGAGCCCAGGCACTTCCTCATGGGACACAGGCATCTTAACACCACTTTGAAAGAGCCACAGGCCTGGCCTCCCAGGAGCCCTGGCTGGCAGCCCAGCTGGCCCTAACAGACAACTCCAACTGACTTCAGGGAGGGAGTTCAGACCACTTTCCCGGGGTGAGGCCCAGAGATTCGGAAGAAAATGGGCCGATCGTGAGACAACGGAATGCCCAGAGAAGTGATCCTACAGCGGATGAGGTAGGGGCAGGAAGCGGAGCCTGCTGGGAGCCTCCACCTGCCACACCTGCCCCTGCGGTGCTAACTGCGGGGCTCTTGTGGGGCTTGGTGAGAGTCCAGCTAGGACAGGAGGGAGTTTTAGAGGAAAAGAGAGGTTGAGGATTAAGAGATTGGGCAAAACCAGGAACGAATGGCTAATTCAGGAGTCCTGCCTGGGGCTGATGCGTGCACTGTCACCTTCCCTTTCGCCTGCCCACCAGGCATTCAGTAAAATCTGCATCACTGCCACGGTTTTTAGACTTAGATTTTTTTTCTTTTCTTTCTTTCTTTCCTTTTTTTTTTTTTTTTTAAGATTTATTCATTTATTTGAAAGGTAGAGTTACAGAGAGTGAGGGAGAGACACAAAGAGAGAGGGCTTCCATCTGCTGGTTCACTCCCCAGATGGCTGCAACAGCCAGGGCTGGGCCAGGCTGAAGCCAGGAGCCTGGAGCTTCTTCCAGGGCTCCCACATGCATGCACGGGCCCAGCACTTGGCCCATCTTCTGCTGCTTTCCCAGGTGCATTAGCAGGGAGTGGAGCAGCTGGGATAGATCTGAGAGAGATAAAGATCTCTCTCTCTGCCTCTCAAGTAGACAAGGATAAATAAACATTAAAAAAGAAGAAGAGGAGGAGGAGGAGCTGACGCTGTGGCGTAGCAAGTGAAGCCACCACCTGCAACGCTGGCATCCCATATGGGCGCCAGTTCATGTCCCGGCCACTCCACTTCTGATCCAGCTCTCTGCTGTGGCCTGGGAAAGCAATAGAAGATGGCCTAAGTCCTTGGGTCCCTGCGCCCACATGCAAGACCTGGAGGAAGCTCCTGGTTCCTGGCTTCAGATCAGCACAGCTCTGGTGGTTGCAGCCAATTGGGGAGTGAACCAGTGGATGGAAGACCTCTCTCTCTGCCTCTCCTTCTCTCTCTGTGTAACTCTGACTTTCAAATAAATCTCTTTAAAAAAAATAAGAAGAAATCAATGTATTTACAGTAGTAGCTGAAGAACATTTTGCAATATTGATTCATATTTCTAAAAATTTGTAACTATGTAGATCTAGATGCAGCTTGCATGCATATTTAACTGGTCTCAGCCCTGTTTTGACTTAAGGAAAGAATCGAGAGAAGAAACTATTTGCAGGCCTGTGTGAACCTGCAAGGCAGCAAGTTAAGCCATGGTGGGGCACCAGCTCACATCTGATCGGGCTCCCTGCTAATGTGCCTAGGAAGTCACTGAAGATGGCCCAACTGCTTGGCCCCTGCCACCCAAGTGGGAGACCCAGAGAAGTTCCTGGCTCCTCTCCCTCTCTCCTTCTCTGTCACTCTGCCTTTTGAATAAATAAATAAATCTAAAAAAGATCCTACTTATAATTTGATTTAAAAGATTGTCAAGGGCAAGTGTATGACAGTGACACCAGTGTGATTGGTAATATAAAGAGGAACGGCACAGAATTTTGGTCAAGAATTCAGAAGCACGTTTTGTGTCACATGCCCTCCATAACACACAGAACTTGGTAGGAGACACGGCCTGAGTGCATAGTGATGGCATCCTTTGCCAAAGTAAAAGGATTATATGTAATGTTCTGGATCTGGCCATAGAAGGAACATCTTAGAGAAACCTCTATCCCAGGGCCAGTGCTGTGGTGTGGTGGGGAAAGCTGCCACGCAGAAATGCCGGCATCCTACACTGGTGCTGGTTTGAGTCCCTGCTGCTCCACTTCCAGTCCAGCTCCCTGCTAATGTGCCTGGGAAAGCAGCAGATGGCCAAGTCTCTGGGCCCCTGTACCCACTCTGTACCCTGGAAGAAGTTCCTGGTTCCTAGCTTAGGATCGGTCCAGCTCCAGCCGTTGCAGCCATTTAGGGAGTGAACCAGCAGATGGAAGAAATTTCTCTGTCTCTCTGTAATTCTGTCTTTCAAATAAATAAATAATCTTCAAAAAAAGAAAGAAAGAAAGAAAAGCCTGTATCACATGTGACTTCATAACCACTTTTGGCTTCATAAAGGGAATGCTGGCCACATGCAGTTGAATCAAATCGATTTACTTTAGACAAGAAGGAACCAGAAGAATAAGAAGAGTTCAGCCAAACAACAGATTTGCAAGTCATGGTCTCAACTAGAAAATAGAGCTATTCTGAATGTGTCCTGCCCACTGATACTTATTATTAGTACTATTGACGAGTTGAGTTTAAGTTTGGGTGTTTATGTCTGTAAATAAGTGATACACCAGTATTGACCAGTTGTTATTACCTGGAGTCCAAGGCTTACATTGTGGTTCACTGGGGATGCGTTGTCCAGTCCACGGTCTGGTCAAGTGCATAATGACATCCGTCTACCATTATAGAATCGTACAGGATCGTTCACTGCCCCAAAGCCTCGGCACTCTGCCTGCTCCTCCCCTCCTCACCCTAAACTCCTGGCAACCTCAGATCTTTTTACCATGTCTCTCCCAGAACGTCTTACGGTTGAAGTCACAGTATGCCACCTGATTCTCAGATTTCACATTGCGTTCTCTGGCAGAGCAATATGGATTCAAGTTCTCTCCATGTCATTGCTAGCCCATGACTTTTTCAGGGCTGAATAATCTCCCACTGTTTGGGTCTACCAGTTCACTCTCCATTCACCTGTTGGAAGACACCTTGGGTGTTCCCAAGTTTGTACAATTCTGAATAAAGCTGTTATGAACATTCTTGAGTATTTGTATAGACATAAGTTTTCAATTCATTTGTGTAAATACAAACGAGCAAGATGACTGCTTTATATGGATGATGAGGGGATGTTTGATTTTGTAAGAAGTCATCAAACTGTCTTCCGAAGCGGCTGCACCCATTCACATTCCCACCGGCAGTGAGTGAGACTTCCAGTTGGGCCACGTACTTATTAACCTTTGGTGGTCTCCATGGTTTGGCTCTGGTCATTCTAATAGGCATGGAGTGGTATCGCACTATTGACTTAATTTGAAGTTCCCTGAAGCCATGTGGTGTGGGCATTGTGATGTGTGACTGGTCACCATCCATATATCTTCTTTCCTAAGGTCTTTGGCCTATTCTTAAACTGGGTTTCTTGTTTTGTTATTATTGAGTTTGAAGCGCTCTTTGTGTGTTTTGGATAATAGTCCTTTACCAGAGGTGTGTTTGCTTTTCTGCCCTGCACACAGCTCAGAGCCCTGTCCCTTTAGGACAGCTCTAAGGCATTGGTCACTCAGGGGGTGGTCCTGATAACCATGTAACTTTCCAGAGGCACAGGAGTATGACGTGACCACCTGCTCAAGCAGAAGCCCCACAGCCCCAGTTCTGTGCCAGGAGAGTTCAGAGCAGCAAAAGAGCTGTGACCATCTTGGGGGAGCATGCCTGTAACCTCCCATCTAGAAATATGGTCATTCACTAAGCCCTGCCTCCCCTTCTCAGGAACTTGGAAGAGAAACTGACCAGGGGTGGAGGAAGGGCCACATGCCACAATTTCCTTGAGGTGGGGGCAGGGGGTCCTGTCTTCTTGAGGAGGCCTCCAGCCATCAATTCAGCTCCCCCAGGTTTGTGCGGGTGGCCATAGACGGTCAAGGTGCGAACATGGGGTTTGGAAGGATTGGGTGCTACCAAGGGCCCTACCGACCGGAACACCTCACAGAGAATTCCAGGCACATGGCCTGCCTGTATCCCCTATTGAAGCCGGGCTTCACACTGGGTGGGCCGGGAACAAAGCAGCATGGACATACTGCTCCCCTCCAGATACAGCTGTTGTGCTGAAGAGCAGGTGGATCCCATACCCCATGAGGTCAGGTGCATGGCCCTCAGGGGAATGGGGTCGTGTTCTCCCTTGACGACACAGGAGATGTTGGATAGGACACTGACAGCTCTGTTGCAACACCGAGCTCTGCTGTTGAAATAAATCAATAAATATTTTTCAAAAAGTGATAGGGAAGAAAGGCCCCTCCTTTGTGGGACTCTGTGTGTGCATGTGGTGGGGGGAAGGCTTCTCTCGAAGTGAGTCATCAGCCTCCCCAACTGTCATTTACTCCGCACTCCCCCACCCCCCGGCCCCCATTACTAGAATGGCTCAAGGGACAGGGACTGAGGAAACCAAGTGCCTGTGAGAGCTTGGGGAGAACCGGAGTGTGCGCCTTCTGGCCGCTGTGGGGTGCTGGGGGCCTCCTTTCCGGTTAGGCCTGTGTCCCGGCCCTGGGGGGGGGGGTGCTGCCCTGAGCACGGGGACTGGGACAGAATCCTCACCTCAGCCTGTGCACAGCGCCCCCACAGGAAGACACCGGGATTGCCCGTCAGCAGTAGAAGGAAGAAGCAGGCTGGGTGGCACTCAGGGTGAGATCCTGTGTGGCCATTGGAAAGGATTTTGCACCACGCAGACACATGGGGGAACCCACCCCCAGTGCTGAGCCAAGGGAGAAGGCAGCCTCAACTTAGAAAATGTGAGCTGGAAAAGATACGCAGACACTGGGGGATCTCATGGGATCTGAGGGTGCCATGGTAAACCTGCATTAGAACTGGGATCCAGATCTCCAGGACAGGATCAGCCCCATTCATTCATTCCCCCTCTCTCTCTGCCCCGCCCCCAGCCCCTTCTCTCACCTCTCTGTCCCTTGGACTCCATCTCAGACACAGGCTGTCTTCCCAGGAGAGAGGGCTCCCACCATCCTGGCATTCACAGCCCCCACTGGAAGCCCTCCAGGAGAGAGAACTCTTCCTGGCACGGACGCCACCTGCATTATGAGCTCATCCAGCTCAGGCACTGTGACCAGGGGTTGCCACCCAGGGGCTGTGCCTGTGTCCCCTGCCCTTCCTGGCCACGGGTGAGGGTGGGGTTTCGTGTCTGGCTGCCCCGCTAAAGCGACATTGTGTAGACTCCCTCTGGTGATGAGTAACCTGGCTGTCACTGGTTCTGCACGTCTGCCCCATTAGCACATGGTCCCCAGCAGACTTTAGCAGGGCACGAGGGCTTCCAATAGTTCATAAAACACATTCAACACACGAGCAGATTATTTATCACCGCACCCAGTGACACCAAGTGTGACAAAAAGTCTGTGACACCTCTCTGAGGACGAGAAAACTCCTTTACTTGGCTAATATCAGATTGGGAGCAAGAAAGAAACCTTGGTTCTTGGGAGCTGGTGTATGGCACAGCGGGCTAAGTCACGGCTAATGATGCCTACATCCCATAGTTGAAGTGCCTGTTCAAGCCCTGGCTCTGAGCCAGCTCCCTGCTAACATACCTGAGAAACCAGCGGAAGATGGTCCAAACATGGGCACCTAGGCCGGCGCCGTGGCTCACTAGGCTAATCCTCCGCCTTGCGGCGCCGGCACACCGGGTTCTAGTCCCGGTCGGGGCGCCGGATTCTGTCCCTGTTGCCCCTCTTCCAGGCCAGCTCTCTGCTGTGGCCAGGGAGTGCAGTGGAGGATGGCCCAAGTCCTTGAGCCCTGAACCCCATGGGAGACCAGGATAAGTACCTGGCTCCTGCCATCGGATCAGCGCAGTGCGCCGGTCGCAGTGCGCCGGTCACAGTGTGCCAGCCGTGATGACCATTGGAGGGTGAATCAATGGCAAAGGAAGACCTTTCTCTCTGTCTCTCTCTCTCTCACTGTCCACTCTGCCTGTCAAAAAAATAAATAAATAAATAAATAAATAAAAGTAAAAAATAAAAAAAAAAAATGGGCACCTGCCACCCCTGTGGGAGACCTGGGTAGAGTTCTAGGCTTTTTAATTAACTTTTTCAAATCTTATTTATTTGAAAGGCAGAGTTACAGAAATAGGGATAAAGACACAGAAGGACAGGGACACACAAAGAGAGAATGGTGAGGGAGAGGGAGAGAGAGAGAGAGAGAGAGAGAGAGAGAGAGAGAGAATCTTCCATCTGCAGATTCACATCCCAAATAGCTACAGTGGCTAAGGCTGTGCCAGCCTAAAGCCTGGAACAGGAGATTTTTGGGTCTACAGCATGGGAGAAGCGGCCTAAACATTTGGGTCATCTTCAGAAGCTTTCCCAGGCCCATCAGCAGGGAGCTGGATCGGGGGTGAAGCAGCTGAGACTCAAACCAGCACCCATATGGATGCCAGCACTGCACCACTGGCTTAACCCATTACACCACAGTGCCAGCCCCACAGGCTCCTGGCTTGAAACCAGCCCACCTTAGCCATTGTGGCCATATGGGGAGTGAGCAGAGGATAGAAGATCAAACTCTGTCCGTTGATCTCTCAAATAAATAAATCTTAAAGAAGCCTGGGCACCAGCACTGTGGCACAGCAGTAAAGCTGCCGCCTGTGACACTGGCATCCCATATTGGGAGGCTGCTTTGTGTCCCGGCTGCTCTGCTTCTGATCCAGCTCCCTGCTAATGTGCCTGGAAAGGCAGAGGAAGATGGTCCAATTAGCTGAGGCATTGCCACCTGCAGGGGAGACCTGGATGGAGTTTGGGTGCCTGTCTTCAGACAGGCCTAGTCCAGCCATGGTAGCCATTTGTGTGGGGTGTGGCAGGTGAACCATGGATGGACGATTGCTATCTCTCTTCTCTCTCTCTCTCTCTCTCTCTCTCTCTCTCTCTGCTTCTCTGTAAACTGCCTTTCAACTCAGTAAAAACAAACAAAAATGAACTAAAGAAAAGACAAAACTTTTAAGTGAGATAGGCTTTACCTAAGCTCTATGCAAAACAGTCCCCAAAGTCCTCATACTCTATTGTTTTTTTCAGCTTATTTAATAAAACTGTAGTGAGAATTCGTGGGGTGCTGTTTCTTTCCTCCCAGCCTTGAGGAGGTGACCAGCACTGCAGGAAATCACAGAGAAATCACACCGTGCAATGTCCCTGGGCAACCGGAGGAGGGGTCATCTCCCCAGGGAGGGTTCCTCTCCCAAGAGGGCTTGGGCAGTCGGTGCAGAGGGACCATCACGTGTTCCTGGGCCCACGGCTGTGCTGGGCCCTGGGGGCTCCTCAAGAACTGCAGGAGACACCGCTCCACCTGGGGGTTCCCGGGCTCATTTCCTACCTGAGAGGAGGTTGTGGCTTCCTCGGGAGAAACACTGGTCCTGAGGGCTCAGCACGAGGCTGTCCCAAGGAGACAGATCCGAGGCTGTGATGCGGCCAAGTCTCGTCGTTTCTGGGCTGTGCAGGTCCTGAGGAGTTGAAGCAGGGAGTCTCATTTCTTTTTTCTTTCTAAGTTGTATTCTATTTGTGTGAGCGTGAAGAGGGGAAAAGAGAGTGCTAGTGAGGGAGGGGGGAACTCCTCCCTGCTCTGCTACAGCCCACAAATGACCTCCAGGACTAGGCCAGGCTGAAGGCGGGAGCCAGGAGTTTTGGCTGTTGTTGTGACAGGAGCCCAGAACCCCAAGTGCCTGGCAGAGCCTCGAGTCCTCCCTACCAGGCGGAGGACAGTCTCGGAGGATGTAGCTTTCTCGGCTGCCACTGACTGGGCCTTCCCTGTTTGGACTGCACGGACCGCACTGCCTTCTGGGCTTCCGGGGTTTCTGCCGAGAAATCTGACCATGACTTAGGGGGAAAGGGTGACAAAGCCACCTTCCTCTCAGCTCTGGAGATGCGGACAGTGTACCTGGCCACGGTGTCTTGGGCAACAGAACACGTGTTGAGTTTACCGAGGCCAGAGAAGTTGTTCCATCACTCAGAGACCCATCACTCAGAGGGTAAAGGCAAAGGAGGGGATATACTAAGTGGAGACACTAGGAGGTCTTCAAAAGACACAAATTACTATCACCTTTTACACTAGACAAGACCAGACCACCCAAGCACCATACTTGTTTGAATTTCTCAAAAATGAAGTATCAATCCCTATCACCCATCAAAGGCAAAAGCTTTTAGGGTATCTTTTTAATTTAATTATAAAATTCCTGCGAAACCCCCCGTGAATTATCTGCAGCCGTGATTGGTCAATTTCTTGCTCTGACTTCATAATGCCTCACTGTTAGGAAAGTCGTATTATTACAGAGTCCCTGGCTGGGCTGGGATTGGTCCGTTTCTCGCTCTGACTTCATAAGGCGCCACTATGTGAGGTGAGCCCCCAAAAAGTATATATGGCCGCTGCGGGGCCTGGGTTTTCGTCCGCCTTACCCAGAGAGCACGCTTTTGTGATCTGTGTAACTAGGACCCATCTAACCAGCCTTTGCGCTCGTTGGTGTTGCTTGTGCGTTTTCTTGGTTGTTTGTTTCTGGGTCTGTTTGGTTTTTGCTTTTTCCCATTTTGTTTAGTTTGTTGTTTTCCTCCTCGTTGTTGTTTTGCCCATTTGGCCTTTTTTTTGCAGTTTTCTTTATTTTTGCTTCCCCCACTCTAGTCAGCTAGCACGCTCAGAAGTATCAGTGTTCGAGGATTTAGTGGCTTTTCCTCTTTGTTGTTTTCTCCTTTATTGAGGTAGTCTTGCGGCTTCGCCTCTAGAGCAGTGAGAGTAGCTGGTGCTGTGTCTTAGTCAGCTGGGCAGTCAGGCCCCCGTGGTCCCTTTGTGTTGTAGGCAGTGCAGTGAGGGTCGGTGATTAGCTAGCGTGTGTCGAGCGGGTTAGGGAGTCGAGAGAGCGTAGTTAGGTGACCGGCGGCATGGAAGGTACCTTGGACGTCCATCCTCCTCTGGACGGGTACCACTTCGTGGGCATGCTCGGCCAGGGCGGCTTCGGCCTGGTGAAGCTGGCCCGGCACCTGGCGTCGGGCAAGTACGTGGCCGTAAAGATCCTGCAAGACGCCTCTCCCAGCAGCCCGCTGTCTGCGCATGGGGAAGCAGCCATCCTGAGGAGCCTGCGGCACGACAACATCGTGCGGCTGCTGGAGGAGCGGCACACGAGGAAGCACCTGTTCCTGGTCATGGAGCTGGCGACCAGGGGCTCGCTCCAGCACTACGTGCTGTGGCAGGGCGGCCTGGCCGAGGACGAGGCCAGGGCCCTGTTTGGCCAGGCGCTGGCCGCCGTCAGCTACTGCCATGGCCAGCGCGTGGCGCACCGGGACCTCAAGCTGGGCAACCTGCTGCTGGATGAGCACATGACCATCAAGCTGGCGGACTTCGGGCTGAGCCTGCGGCTGGAGCGGGGCACGCTGGTAAGGGGCTTCTGGGGGACCCCCGAGTACTGTGCACCAGAGGTTTTCCTCGAGGAGGACTACGACGCTTTCAAGGCCGACGTGTGGAGTCTGGGGGTGGTGCTGTTTGCCATGCTGGAGGCCACACTGCCCTTCCCTGGCAAGGACACGGACAAGGTGCTGCAGGACCGGGTGCTGTGCGGCGTCTACGTGGTGCCACGTGGCATCAGCCCGGCCCTGCAGGAACTGCTGGCGTGGCTGCTCTCCGTCGACGCCTCGGGGAGGCCCAGTGCGGAGGATGCCAGGACCCACTGGTGGTTCAGCCCCGGCCGAGAAGCCGCCCAGGGGCACGAGGAGGATGCGGTCACCCTGCTGCAGCCCCTGGGCGTTCCCCAGGACCCAGAGGCCAGGGAGTACCTGGCGGGCCTCGGGCTGCTGCCAGGCACGGGGACCGAGGGGACACCAGGCCCTCAGCCCCAGGACCCTGCGTCCCTGCCCGAGTCCTCACAGAGCAGCAAGCGCCCCCCCATAGAGGACGACGGCTTGGCTCTGGTGTCCGTGTCCCCTGACAGCATGGCTGTTGGCTGCATTTCCTCCGCACAAAGCGACTCCTCCGAGGCCTCCAGTGAGTCTAGCCCTACCCCTGCCTCGGGGCCTCCAGGAGCTGAGCCCAAGGCCCCAAGGTGACCCCACTCTTGACTCTCTCCTACCAGGCCAACCACAGCAGGAGAGGAGCCCTGCTCCCAGCGCCGCCCCCGACTCCGCCGAGCCCTCCAGTGAGTCTTGCCCACTCCCCACATCCCCTGCCACTTTGGGGCCTCCAGGAGCTGAGCCCAAGGCCCCGAGGTGACCCCACTTTTGACTCTCCTACCAGGCCAGCCACAGCAGGAGAGGAGCCCTGCTCCCAGTGCAGCCCCCGACTCCGCCGAGCCCTCCAGTGAGTCTTCCCCTCTCCCTCCCAGCCCCAGCCTTCTCGGGTACTCTTTGGCTGAGCCCTAGGCCCCCTTGGTGACCCCTTCTTGACTCACCTACCAGGCCAGCCACAGCAGGAGAGGAGCCGTGCTCCCAGCGCAGCCCCCGAGCCAGCCTCCAAGGCGTCGCCCTCCAGCCCCAGTGCCAGGAACCGTGTGGACCTCGCAGAGCCAGAAGCCGCCGCAGCTGCCCGTGAGCCTGAGGGGGCTGGGACCGCAGCCACCGCTGCCACCGCTGCCACCGCTGACACCACAGCCAGCGCCCAGGGCAAGAGGCAGGGCCGGCGCGGGGTCGGCAGGAGGATCCTCCGGTTCCTGCTGAGGGCATGCTGCATCCTGCCGTCCCGAGGGAGCAGTTCTGGTCACTGCTGCCACAGAGTGGCCCCCAAGTAGCCTTGCTCCGCCCCTGTCACCAGGAGCAATGCGCAGGCTGAGCTGACTGAATGTTTTTCGTGAGCATTTGCAAATGCTTCTCATGAATAAACTTCACCTTTGTGCGTGGCTTTGGTCCCGTGTGCTGTTTGGGTCCCTGTGTGCACCGTGGGGAGGTGATGGAGGTATGGGCGGGTGGCTCTCACGGAAAGACCAAACTGGCCAGGCGCAGTGGTCGGCACGCAGTGGGTCTCGTGCGTTTAGGATTTCTGTTCATGAGCAGGGGAGGATCTCAGAGGCAGCCTGGACGCTGCTGGCTGTCATGGGCGTTCCCTGTGACAATGTGAGGAGAAATCCTCAGTATTTCTGGAGGCCACAGCCCGGTCAGCGCCCAGCGGGGCTCCCCTGCCTCCCAGCCACGTCCCACCCCACCCCTAGAGTGAGAGTGACAGTGTGTGCAGGGGCCTGGGGAGGCGGACTTGGAGGAGACTGCCAGGGCTCAGGGCCCTCTCAGGACAGAAGCCCGGGCCGCCCTGCCTGATGAGCAGTGGAGAAGGCCAGGGGAGGCGGCCTCTGCGAGGCTGGGAGCAGCTCTGCAGGCCCTGGCCCGGCCCGGCTCCAGAAGCCCCAGGCACCCCCCTCCCTGAGAGATCAACCCTGCCCCAAGCCACCCCCATCCCTGAAAGATCAATGCTGCCCCCATCCCTGAGAGATCAACGCTGCCCCAGGCCACCCCAACGTGGCTCTGTCACCTCAGCCCCCGACCAGGTCCACCGGGCTTCGGGCTTGGTCCTAATCCTCGAATCCAGTCATTAGCTAGCAGGTTTCAGCATACACACACATGCACAGACATAATGAATGGTACACATTCGCACACATGGACACACACATGATGCATGCATGCACACAGGCATAGACATGATGAGCGATACGCACAGACACATACACCAGATACACATGATGCACACGCACACACATACACATGATGCACACTCACACATGCACACAGGCACAGACATGATGAGCGATACGCACAGACACACACACACATACACAGACACACCTGATGCACACGCACACACATACACATGCACACGCACACAGGCACAGACATGATGCACGGTGTACACAGACACGCATACACACGTGCTCTGATCAGGGTGCCTGGCCCCCACTGGGCTGTGGTAAGGATCCCTGAGAACAGCAGGTCTGGCTGTGCTGTGTCTCTGTCCCTCTGCCCTGCAGCCCTGTGTCCCAGGGCTGCGAGCGTGGCTGAGGACTCCTCAGCGGCACTAACACTTGGGCCATCTTCTGCTGCGTTCCCAGCACGTGAGCAGGGAGCAGGATCAGAAGTGGAGCAGCAGGGCCCAAAGCTGCACCCATGTGGGATGCGGTGTCCCAGGCGGCAGCACTGACAGCTGTGTCACAACGCTGCCCCTCCAGAGACTTTAAGAAATCCCGCCGTGTGAGAGTCCCACGTGGGATGCTGGCGTTGTAATGGATGTCCTCGTCTTTGCCTGGCCTGACTGTTCAAAGATTCAAGGGCAGAAGAGTGCTTCCTTCAAGTAGAGCTCATGACGGTTCCAACAATGCCACAGAGGTGCGGGGCTTGGGGCAGGTGTGGGGACCGCTCTCGGGAAGCAGCATGCATGCGCCAGTGTCTGCGTTTCAGAGCCGGCAGCATTTCAACTCCAGCTTCCTGCAGGTGTGCGCTCTGGGAGCAGCAGGGGACGGCCCACGGCCTGGGTCCCTGACACCCACCTGCGAGACCCAGATGGAGCTCGCAGCTTCTGCCTTGGTGAAGCTGGCCTGTGGGCAGCCCAGGGAGGAACGAGCACTTGCAGAGCCCCAGAGGTGGCCCAGTGTCTGCAGCAAACACCGAACACGAGGGCTCCAAGTGCAGGCGGGGAAGGTCTGCCCGGGACAGGTGCGGGAAGGTCCCAGATGTCACAGCAGGAGCCGAGTCCTGTCCTGAAGCGGATAGTTCTTGAGCCTGGTCCATGGGACATTGTCGTTGTGCAGTGGGCCTTGGGGCAGGACACACACCTGCCAGCAGGACCTGCGGTTCCCACAGGACCTTCTGATGGTGGGACCCAGGTAACATTCAGGTCGCAAGGTCTTTTTTGCTTCTCCTCTCCTTCTGATCCTGCCTAACTTTAGAAACATAAAGCACAGGAAGTTTACACCAGACAGATAATAAAATTAATTCCCCGCAAGAGGTAGGCTAAAAGGAATGGAGGGGCAAGGGCAGGAGCAGCATCTCTCTCGAGTATAGGTTTTTATATAATTTTGAGTTTTAAAAGAATGCTAATGTCTTATACATCAA